AGTGAATTTTAGATTACTTTACGTAACTTGTCAACCATAGATGCTATTCACGCTATTCAAGCTCATCAAGGAGCTGTATCAGACTTTGACATTTGTGGTAATCGGTTGATCACCTGTGGATACTCACCGAGGTTATTAATTTTGTTTTATTTAGCTATATTTTAGTGTCTTGAACTTTATCCTTCAGCTGTTAAGGAACATGAGAGTGAAATTTTTTGTTTAAGTAGAGTAAATAAATTTTGATATTATGGGTTTTTGGCACAATTTTCTATTTCTTAGGATGGGCAATTTATTGGCTGATAGGTTTTTGATGGTTTACGATTTACGGACACTTCGTGCATTACCTTTGGTACCTTTATCGATACCACCGACTTTTTGTCGCTTTTTACCATCGTATTCAGATAGCCGAATAATGGTTGCATCTCAGGTTCGTGTCATATTTAGTTCATTGTGATTTAAACTTTGTTGCAATTATTATTTCGATTATAATCAAATTTATCTGTATTAGGCAGGTCAGCTTTTGATAATGGACTTGAACAAACCAGCTGGGATCCCCATACAACTGGATACAAATGGTTTGGCAGTATTTAGTGTCAGCGTTTCGAGCTCGAGACAGTGCATTGCGTTTGGCGACCAAGCCGGTGCATTGTAGTTTAAATTTTCTTTAATTATCAGGTTGGCCAGTTCAAAGGAGATGCTTGGTATTCTATTCCCATGTAAACTGCACATACAGTGATTTACTAGAGGTTATCATTGCTCTAATCTGGTGTAATACTTGTTGCTTTAGGGTTTATCCATCTGTTTTCTGATCGTATGCAGCCTGTTTTCAACGAAAGTTCTTGGGAAACTGAATTTCCTGAGCAGGTTCTCCTTGCCGACTTTTGATTTGAAAGTTTAGAGGGTTCGGAAGAAAATCTAGTAAAACAAGCCGATTTTATGTTGAAGATAGTTTTCCCCTTAATTTTAGTCTATTTACGGTCCCAGTATGGAAATTGATGATACTCAAACACCGTATGCTGCATTTTTACTACCATTTACTGTAGATGACACATATCTTTCAGACTGGCCTGAAGAATTATGTCAGAAAGCTTTCAGGTAGGAGACGGTGTGGTCAATGTATTAAGTTCCTGTAAAAATCTTAAACATATTTTTTAGGAAGCATTTCTATAATTTGAGAACAATTTTTTTTACTTTCTGATGTGCTTTAGGAAACCAGATCCCATTCCAAAACAGATATTAGATTCAATTAGAATGGTTCAATTTGTTGGTTATGCCCCGAATCCTAGAGCTGGGACACCACTTTGTAAATTCAATGTAAAACCTTACTCGGATGAAGTTTCTTCTACAGTTAACGACAATCATAACGGTGTGTGACTCTGCACAGTTACTTGTAGTTATTATTTTAAATCTGTTAGATGCAAAAGCTGATTGTTTTTTTTTTTTTGAAATTACTTCTAAGTTTGGATAGGTAAACCAGTTCACGAGAACTCACCGCCACCTATACCTAAGTTTTATCGGCGGGTTCACGTTCAGCCGTCGAAATATAATAACGAAGAATTTGATTACGTGAGATATAATCATACGGAATATATACCAGTGGAATGTTATCCGTCTTTGCCTCAGGCTAATGCTGTTCTTTTGGTATGTCTTATTCTTCCCTCTGTTTTTTTCTTCAGTTTTGATGCTGTTCTGGTGTGTTTATTATATAATTTGGAATTTAAGGCTTTATTTCATATTACTTCTGTTCAAAATTATTTCTTAAAACACATGTGTGCTACGGATTACTGCTTGTCATGTGAAATTGGATTTCTTTATCGTATGTTAATTGACAGGTCACCTACACAACCAGCTTCGGTAATTTTTTTCTTAAAGTCCTCTTAGCTTTGCACTTCTTTTGTTGTCCACTGTGCTTTCATGTATCCTTTTGTGTTATTTCATCTGAATGAAAGAAATTTAGGTAACAAATTTTGTAAGGTCGTTAAGATCCATGAGTGAATATGGTCATCTATTTGCTGCAAATTCTGCAAACAAATTTATGCAGAAAACACGTGCTTTCATTGGGGCTTTGTTTCAAAGGCTTTATGAAGTACCTTTTGATTATTTTGACAAATTAATAAAACAAGTAAATAACCCTGTAACGTTGTACCTTACGATTGTTTTCAGCACATGTCTCATTTGCGTAGTGAAGGGTTCTGTTCTGTGCCGTGACTAAGCTAGCTATTTAGTACTTTTAGGACCCATCTGTTTAATTTTTCTCGGTACTCTTTTATTATTAGGTTCCAGAATTGTATTTATATTTGTTTTTTAGGAAATAAACGACGTGGATACGGATTTCCTGAAGAACCACGATGTGGAATTTAGCATGAATAATCGTTGCATAAGATGTTCTGAACAGTTCCAAACACAGTGTTCGCAGCTATGTATACCTCTGGCCTATCCGACTAGTCAGTTTTTAGTCTGTTGTTTTTGTGTCTATAATTTTGGTTAGTCAATGTGTAACTTTTAAGAAGTTCTTTTCGAATGGCTGTTTACTTATTATATTTGCTGATTAAATTGTATCGTCGTTTTTTAGATGGTGGGGACAAAATCAGGTTTTATCAGTTAATGGAAAAGTCTTTGAATTGCCCCGGTCAGTCAGAAGCTATTTGCCAAAAATGCGAAAAACGTGCTAGAATAACTTCTACTCGTAGAGTCAGCAAGTTGTCCCAATTGTTGTTAATAGACACCAGTGTTGTGACCGACAGCGAGAAGAATTTTTGGAATGTGCAGTTACAGGTTCTTTTATAGAAGTTTTTTCAGCATTTG